AAGAATCAAATAGCGAGTATGATATATTCATATTTAGAAATACATTTTAAAACCATGGAAGGACAAACTAGAAACAAATAAGGAAGATAGAAAATTAATATTTGCAGGACATTAAACACTAACCATGCCTTGTCAACAGATAGATGATATTCTGAATTAAGCATGGATGGCAAGAGGACCTGGGGGAAGGAAGGTGGAGCCAAGTGGGATTGCGATCATGACTGATGTGTTTCATTTTCGTGATCCTCCTTCTAGCATAGGAAGCATGTTAACCACTGTGAACTCCACTCCATCTCAATGCCTCACACACAATTTATGTCAATAAATTTCAGTGGATTAAATTAAGATCAAAATAGAGCTCTGCTCTGGGGTCTGCAGATCAGGAAGCCACTAAGTGCCTACAGGCATCCTGAAGAGAACACTAAGGCAAGACTAAGTGAGTGTGAGCAAAGACTGTTTTACATAGCTAAGCCCATAGCTTGCCTTCTGATCTGCCTTTTTCTTTTTGGCTTTAACATACAGTCACTGTAGGCTGTGCTGATGAATGTTCTTCTGTTTCACCACGTGAAGAACATTTATCTTTTTTTTTTTTTTTTAATCAGGAAGGCTTTGTAAACTGATGCTGATACCATAATCAAAACCACATTGCTGCTTATACCCTCAAAGTATAGCTCTTATATCTATTTACTACCAAAAGAAGAAGAAGAATACTATTATTAAAATAGAGACAAAATGTTCCATGGGTCAGAAAAAAAATGGAGTGTATGACTGAAGGGATTATGTATTACCCTTCATCACAGAGTTGTCATTCTTGTGATGTACTGGAGAGCACTAAAAGCTATTGTTCCAATGACATATAACTCTGAATACCTTCACTCTGAGGAATCATTTCATCAGGAGACTCTGTATTATATATCAACACTATAATGTGTAACGTATTTCCAGTGACATATTTTTATTGTATGCTATCAGCTAAAGGGGCATAATTAACATTATAGTAGGGGTTTACTAGAGGTTGTATGTTTTGTTTCTTATATTCAGTTATTGAAGTTGTCTCTGCAACATGAACATTAAAAACATATACATAGATTAAACTGTAAAACCAGTCCTTGGAAATGTTAAATTATTTTCTACTTTAAGGAGCATTTTATGAGGAAAAAATATTTAATCGATAAAACAATCAGAACTTTATGTGCATGCTTTTCATTTTTGCATTGTTTCAGCTGCTACGCCGTGACTATTTTACAAGAAAACAAAACAATAGTAGAAAAATAGGGAAGATTCGGTTCAGCGGCAGTAATACAAATGATGAGCAACAGCAGACTGAGAGAGGTCTAAATGCCAAATCTTGTTCAATTTTCTCTCAGGCCATAAGAATTTTAATTCGTTCCTAAATATTTTAAACGGAGTAAGAAATAGATCTGTAGCACTCATATGGCTATCCATTTCCAGCTTGGGTGTTAAATTCTGGCCAGGCTAGCTATTAGAGGGTAATTAGAAGTGACAAGGGGGATACAACATTCAGCACAGACTTGCTATTTTTCTGGCTTAAGAGCCTGCTTACTTTATGCAAATTGTTCATAGGCCATTATCATGCAGCCCTAACAATCAGTATTTAATTTGTTGATAGCCTTGACAGTTGTGGCCAGAGTATAATTGGCATGGACTCTCCTGCAAAAATAAAATAAATTGGGTTGTGCATGAAGCTAAACAACATAATTACCAACAATTAGACATTAATTACGTGGTTTCAGATTCTCAAATCCTTCTCCTGAATTTAGCCAAACCTAGATCTAATTACATTTTAATTTTGTGAAAACATCCATGTTCCTGAGATAATCAGGTGTTCAGTAGGTGTTTTCTCTAGAAATTGTGTTTCATTATGGATTACTATGTTGAGAAATTAATTGTGTCCGTATTTGCAGATGATCGGAAAAAAAAACAAAAACAGAATAGAGATGTGGTTCACATTAATTTGTTGGATATTCCTCTCTTTGAATCTCTCTTTCACTCTGTCTGTCTCTCTTCTCTTCTAATGTCTTTTTCTCTTTCTCTCTTTCTCTAATAATGTGAAAAAAATTAATTTGGAGCATAGAAAACAAAATTCATTAAGGAAGGTCCCAGCCCGCTGTGGGCAGTACTCACACCTGGGCTGTATAAAGAAACAGGTTGAACAAGTAAGGGATGCAAGCCAGCAAGCAGTGCTCCTGTATGCTTTCTGCTTCTGTTTCTGCATTCAGAGTAGTCCTGCCTTAGATCTTTCCCTGACTATCCTTCATTACGGACTCTGACTGTAAGTTGAAATAAACTTTTCCCTTCTCCAAAACACACACACACACACACACACACACACACACACACACACACACACACACAAGAGCGAGAGAGAGAGAGAGAGAGAGAGAGAGAGAGAGAGAGAGAGAGAGAGAGAGAGAGAGAATAATGGTTTTAAAAGAGAGAAACAGAATAATCTTCCTATCAATAATAGAGCTTCTCTAAGTACTTTCTGCCATAACAAAGAAACCCTGAGTGTCAGACAGAGGACTCTGGAAGGCTAGGAACACACCGTTGGCTAAAGTCTAAGTTACAGGTCATTTCCTTAAGGCGGGACATGAGGATATGTTCATATAAAAATTTTAGAGCACGCCTTTAATCCCAGTGCTCGGGAGGCAGAGGCAGTTGGATCTCTGCGAGTCTGACACCAGCCTGGGCTACGGAGTGAGTTCCAGGAAAGGCGCAAAGCTACACAGAGAAACCCTGTCTCGAAAAACCAAAAAATAAATAAATAAAAATAAATAAATAAATAAATAAATAAATGAATAAGTAAGTAAGTAAATAAGTAAACGAATGAATGAATAAATAAATGAAATAAATGAATGAATGAATGAATGAATAAATAAATAAATAAATAAATAAATAAATAAATAAATAAATAAATAAATGGAAAAAATGTCATAGCACGAACCTTAGAAGTGGCTCAGCAGTTAAGAGCACTTGCCAGTCTTGTGAAGGACCCAGGTTCAGTTTTTAGCACCAACATCCCAGCTCACAATCATCCAGAACCCCAGTTATGGCCTGTGTGGGCACCAGGCATGTACATCATCTACATACATGTACACAGGCAAAATACTTGCACACATAAAATGAATACATTTTTAAAAGGAAATAGCAGATTAAATGATGAATGAAGATGCTTTATGGTATCCCTTCATATTATGTGAGGGATAGTCCTTCTGATGAAAAGCACAAGAGATATCACGGAATTGTACCAATGAAGCAGTACCTGAATAAACACTGCCTACTTTCACGGTCTCTTCTCCACCTGTCAAGGGTCTGAGAATGCCTTGCCTACAAGAGTCTTCCTCAATGACTCACGGTACAATCTTTCTTATTTTAGTAGGTTTGTAGTGTAGCTGTGTCAAGCAGGATACTCTTTGCTGGAAACAACTGGGAAACTCTACCAATGCTTGCTTGGAATAATCCACTGGCCTATTATATCATATTTGTTTCTTTGTTTGTTTATTTGGGTTTTTTGTTTTGTTTTGTTTTGTTTTTACTTTAACACTGATAATTTTTTCAATTAGCTAGGTGGTGTATATTTTATCCATGAAGGAAAATGGGTATCAAAATCAGTGTCTCTCCTTTTTACCTTCTATCCCCTCCCTTCCTCTCTCCTCTCCTTCTCTTCCCTCCCCTCCCCTTCTCTTCCCTCCCCTCCCCTCCCCTTCTCTTTCTTCCCCTTCTCTTCCCTCCCCTCCCCTTCTCTTCCCTCCCCCCTCCACTCCCCTCCCCTTCTCTTCTCCTCTCCCTCTGCATATCTTCATGCTCTTATTCTCCACCTCCTCCCCATTTTTTTTAATTAGTCATTTTTCAACTCCTGGTCTGCTTCATTTGACATTAGTCCTTACATTGTTCATTCCCATTTACTTTTCTGTATTTTACAAGCACTTTTTGTTGTTTGATTGTTTAGGAATTCTAGTAGAAAAACAGTCTGACCTCTGTTTCATTTTCTCTACTCAAGTCTCTCATAGACGTGAATGTTATGTAATCTGAAAGCCCCTTCTAGATCTTCATCCTAGACACAGGGTACTGACTATTTCTAAGCATTTCCTTTTTTTTCATTATTTTCTCTTTTTTTTGTTTTGTTTTGAAAGTTTTCTCCATCAGACATGTGTACGTACTGTTTAGACATAGCTTGAATCAGGTATATATCCCTCAGCTCTAGCTGGATTAAAAAATCAGTCTGTTCAGTGATTTGATAACACTCAATTTATTTATTTTATAATTATTATTAAGAAATTTTCTATTCACTTTACGAAAACATTCAGTGTATAATACCTGGCTGAGCTATGTCACATAATATGAAACTTCCCACTACCCCTAAAGTTTAGAAAATATTAGCTCTCTCTCTCTTTCTCTCCCTCCCTCCCTCTCTCCCTCCATCTCTATCTCTTTTTTGGGGATGTTGGTTTTCCAACTCCTCAGAGGGAGTGCTCCATTTGAGAGATTATCCTAAAGGCAGTTCTTGATATAGCTCTTCTCTCCCTCTCATGACAGCTATTGATATCTCTCTCTCTCCCTGTCTCTCTACCATTCTCACTCTTAGCAAAGCTTATATCCATACTTTAAAAGGAATGCTCTCCTTTCCATTAAGGGCACCTCTTGTTCATATCTCCATATATTGTATTATTTCTCTCTAATGCTACCGTCATCACATCAAGACCCATTCATGCCCTTGAGGCTCTTTCCTTCTAATAAACATCATATCTGGACAGAATTTAAGTGTCATTTTCCTTTGTGGAACAACTGCAATTGTTCTATTCTCATATAAAATGCTGTTCTATAAACCACACAACTCTGGTGTTGCCAATGATTTAAATCCAAGGAAACCACACCTTCCAGACACAACAGGACTGATGCAAATATGAACTCACAGAGACTTTGATGACACATACAAAGCTTGCATAGGTTCACACCAGATGAAATCTCAACACTGAGAAGGGAAAGTGGACATAAGGTCTTCTCCAGATCATGAAGCTATTTGCATTTGATACCAGCTGGGAAGAGAGAGTAGGTTATTTTCAATGGAGTGTCTCTGGTTATATCAACTATACCCCAGGTCAGATCCAATGCTTAAGAGTATTGACCAATACAAAATGGACTCCATAGTTTTATTTGTTGTGTTCCCTCCCCCTCCCCCGGGGGGGAGGCAGGGAAGGTGGATTGTTGTTCATTTTTGTCTTATTGTTAATTTTTTATTTTTATTTTGTTTTCTTGACATTTTTTGCAGGAAGTGGGAGAGAACAAGAGAGAGAGCAAGAGAAGTTGGGTACTTGAATGGGTAGGATCTAGGATGAATTGGTATAAGTTTGCCCCCTGACAAATGCACCAGCTACAGTGGCAGTGGCCAGCAGCTCACAGGTGCAACATATTTCCATGGTTGTCATCTCGAGTTACATAGCCTCATGTGTTCCCTTAAAGGCCCTGGCCTTTCCAGATAGCTTTCTGTCTTGTTCCTTCTCTCTGTCTCCTGGTTTCCCTGTCTGTCTGTTTTGTCTGTCTGTCTCTCTTATAGCCCCACTCCTGGGTGGCCTTTACTCTCCCCCTTCCGGAATATAAACCTCTTTCCTTAGATCTTTTGTTTGGTGTGATCTTTTAGCAGCTCACCTTGGCCAGCCTACCAAAGGTATCTTTTTTGCTGTTTTATCCTAACATTTGGAGTAGAGGAAAACATGTATTATATCTTTCTGTGTGAACAAATATAATTGGTTGTTTTCAACAATATATATTATAATTGAGATTGAGTCTGAAATTTATAACAATCCCCATACTTGATTTTTCCTTATATACTCTTGTTATTTTTTCCAGTAACATAATACATGCTTTTATATCTACTTGCTCATACTTTTACTGGTTTATGCTGGCAGAATCTTCCTTGAAATTGCACTACCATATAAACTGAAACTCTTTCCCGCAGCACAGTGCTTACCAGATAGACTAAACTAATTGCCTATCCAAAAACACACTGGATACATCTTTCTCTTGTATTTGTAATGTCAAAATTATAAAATATTGGAAATCTATGAAATATGTATATATATTACTTCAGATTTTTTTTTTACCTCTAGAAAAGTAACACACACTCAAGTGGGAATTAGAAAGATGGATCCATCCATTGAAGATTTTGAGGCTGGATGTGGTGAGGAGAAGGTAAACAATAGCAGAAATGTATGTATATATATTTTATCAGTGAGGTAAAAACAAATGAATGAGAATAATTTGAAGAATCCAAATTGAAGTATATAAACAATGAATGTAAAAATCTATTTTAAACTATTTCATATTGAATTACTAATTTGAAAAAATAAAGTGAATGACTAATTAATAACTATTGCAAAAGATTTTTGCAATCGTTTAATTTAATATCATTTAAAATTAGCCTCATAATAATTTCTTAGAACAAATGGCATATGCAAATTAGTGTCTCTGTAACTGTTTAAAGTCAGAAGGACTGGCTACTTGTATTCCCACAGAGAAGGGCATGGAGCTAATTGACCCGGCAAGAGACCAAGTAAACCCACTGTGTTTTAATTCAGGGTGCAATTATATGCCTGTGCAAGTTTTCACATGCCAATTATTGCTTTTCAGAAAAATCTACATATTCCAAATATCTCTGCACATGAAGAGGAAGAGGACAGACCAGAACACACTCTGAACAATGCAATTAGAGCCCTGAAGGCAATTAACTTTGCTATTTAGTACCAAGTTAAGAGCACTGAAGACGAGGTAATAAATATTCACAAACGCTTCACCATTATACTGAATTGAGAACTGACACACATTTTTAATACATAATACAGGCAGTCTTATTATTAAACTTAATGGCATCTGAGAAATGATGAAACACAGCCGTGAGCTTGTAATGAGATAAGCTTGTAGCCTGGTAGCTTGCATACAAATCATCTCATCTGAATAAAATTAATGTGTGGCTTTTATATCTCTCCTCAAGCACTGCCGAGCCCTCTTTCTCATTTTATGAGCAATTATAGAAAAGAAAATAAAAGTTTAGCTCTGATATGAGATATCAGTGGGAGGGTTTCCAACATGTGTTTTAAATTCCAATTTAAAATTTCTTGTAAGTTAAATGAATAGCAGTTTCTGGATGCTAAATTATATAAAATACCCGAGCCTGCATTTTAGTATAAATTATTAATATTAAGCATAATTTCATAATTTGTAATAGTGACATGCTAGTATTTAATGTTAAAGTACTTGACATTTATGTATTTAATTGAATCTCCACCAAAAAAATGGTATGATTACCCCAATTCTTCATTTTTAAATTATAATGCTAAGAAAGATAAACATGCTATACATATTTCCTTTCTAGATTAGCATAAGAGGGAAATTACATGTTATTCCAACTTAATTGACTAAAGTATTAATTCAATCTCTTAAATTCTGAAATTAGTTATTTCTTGTAAATGTTTATTTTTTTCATAAATGTTAATTGAAATACACTTATATCACTTTCCTTTTTCCCTTTCTCCCTCCAGACCTGCCTGATTTCCTCTCCAACACTATCCATATCACACCACTCTCAAATTGAATGTCTCTTCTTCCCTTATCACATACAGGGGCATGCATGAATACATATGCAAAATATAAATATTTTATCACTTCATGGTGAAGTGAGTTCATTGTTATAAGTTTACAGAAGACAGCCTCAGGGTGGTGGTTCCATTCTCATCATTTCATAAAGTGTCCCCTACATTTAGCATTCCATACTTAGCCAAAAGAAAAAAAAAATCTGGGGCCAGAAAGGTGGTCCAGTGAGTAATGGAGATTGCTGCAATCCCCGAGAAGCTGAGTTTCATCCCTGGGTCTCATATGGTGGGAGGAGAGAACCAGCCCCAGAAAGCTTGCCTTTAACTTGCTCATGCATATCCTGGTATGTGTGTTCCTCACCTCAAGGCGCGCGCACACACACACACACACACACACACACACACACACACGCACATGCACATGCACACATACACACACTCACACATCCTCCCACGCCTGCATACATGCACATGCCCATACATGCGTTCAGACAGATAAAATCATTAAATATCTTTTAAATTGTCCCTTAAAAGTCTCAATTTGAATCACAAAAAATACCACTCGGAAAGAACATTACCAAGAAGCTAAAGTGGAAACCTCCCTTGAGATGATATGTTAGAAAATAATTCTTGAACAAAGGCCTCAAAGTATGCTACAACACTCAATATACATTTGGGAGTTATTCACAGTATCATTATCAAATATTATTTCTAAAGATAAAATTACAAATAATTACCATATTTTAAAATAGATTAGAAAATTGAAACCTCCAAAATTAAAGATATTTAGAAAAAAAATCTTGACAATACATTAAACCAAAATCTCAAACGCCTTTCTTGAGCTTCCCTAAGTATCTGTTTTACTGTATCCCCACAGATGTCTCCTAAAGGAAATGACTGAAATCTAGATGAATGAAAGCATATAAAGGGCACAGAAAATGTTCCCGGATTAGGATGTCTTGTTGCTCAAGGAGCATGCCTCACTTCAGCTCCACCTAGCTCTAACTCCTAGATATTTTCACAAATTACTTGTGTTTGGTCTCTTACATATTGTTTCTTGAGCTAGGATTTTCTTTTAATTCAAAGCCTATATGGTTTGGAAGGGATTTGCTTGCACTTAGAATCTGAGCACTCTTAAGCATTTCTTCTTCAAAGAAATAAAACTCAGAGCACATAATTAGATATTCTGTGCATTTATTGTACAGAAAATTGTGCTGGGTTTCGTTAAGCCTCAAGATTTATGCTTTCTGATAAGATTTCACAGAAAGCCCCATTCCCAAGGTAGAGCTTGGGCTAGGGTGTACAGACCAGTGTCATCTTACGGTGGAAGAATGGAAGAGCCACACTCATGTTCGGAAGTCCTTTATAAGGATCCTAATCTTATAATCCATAAGAAGTTCACCCTCATGAGTTTATGAGCTCTTTTCTTAATACTGTCATATTGGTAATCATATATTCACCATCAAGATATTGGGAATGCAGTGGAAAAAAAACCACCTATAATGTTTTCAGTTCCTTATGTGGGTACATCTTCTCTGATAGAGAATCTATCACAAGGTGCTTCATTCAGAGAGAAATTATTCTTTCATGCAGTTAACATGCAATTTATAATATTTAGTGCTTTTTGGAATGACCGTTAAAACCAGGTACTGTGCAAACAATGGGAATTATGAGCATAAGTAATTTTAGCTCCAAAGTTTAATTATATGTCTTTGTATAAAATGAATACAAAGAGAAAGTTCTAGACTTTTCTTAATTTACAGAAAATCTGCATGTCCAAATGGCTTTCATATAAATGCTTTCCCATCTTTCCTTGACTGTTGTATGTTAATGCTTTGCTGAAACCAATATAGTTCCACTCACTTTGGGGTCTGTTGAACAATACTGCGCTCTGATCCTGCAAGTACACAATGTTAAATTTTATGCTTCACAAATCCCAATATGCACCACTGATTATAAAAGCAATGCTCCTTGTTCCTGCATGCCTCTTAATGTGATGGAGAGTGACACAGAGTGACAGCCTCCCTCCCATTAAAAACAATGACTCACAAAATGAATTGCCCTCTCTTGATACAAACAGCTGTAAATCCAACAAGCACATGGCCTCCAGGTCTCTGCTCCTGTATGAAATCTCAAGTATACTTTCAAAGCACTTAGGGAAAATATCTACACTCAAGTGAATGTATCAATACCTAATGAACAAATATTTAAAATATAAATTTTTAATAATTTGTCTCTGGGGTAAATTGTGAAAACAAAACCCTAACATCATAACATATTCATAGTACTATTTTCTAAAATTCCCATTTTCATCTCATCACACACATGCGGTTACAAGGTCATAAAAGCTATTATCTCTGAATTTTTTACTAAAATTTGTAGGTACCCAAAATACATAAAGCACCCAAAGGCTTCATATACTCATCATCCCTTTTCCTGAGCACAACGTTTATTTATAATAATCCACATGTTGGACAGAAAAAAATATTTGGTGAGACAGAATAATAAATTTAACAAAGCACAATGAATAGAAATCTGTCCATCAGGATTCATACTTAGACTAAATATGCCCTTTTCCCATTTAAAAAAACAAACAAAAAAAATGTGCTTGACTTACAAAATTCACCAAACTCCCAATACTGCTCTTATATATGGCAGAGAAGTAAGGGCAGGTCAGTTATCTGGGTAGCACAGAAAAATGGACTGACCTCTGTATATTCCAGGATGTCATAATGCCCACAAATTGGTCAAATTTGAGTAAGTCACTTTTGGGTTTCCTTGGCTATGGTGTCAATGGGGCAAATGTAGAAAGACTCTGACAAATCAGAAGTTTTCTAAATTTCAAGTGACAACTTCCAGTGAATTTAGGGTTCTGAAGCTCTCAGGTATCTGAGAAATATATTTGCTTATTGTAATTTAGACTTCTGGGTATCCTTTCTCACCAGATTAAGGCAACATGGAAGACTATATAGTGAATCTGCTTCACCAAGAGTAATCTACTTATTTTGACTAGTTAAACTGACAGTTTAGCCATGGATAGAGCAAAGTGATGTTAGTGTGTACAACACCAAATATGTTCTGCTCCAAAAAATTCACTTTATGAGATATTAAGTCACTAGAAATTGGAGGTGATTTTGATAGTGTATATGTACAAAGGAAAGAGATAATTAGTCAATAATAATTCCCAGATTCAGGATTTGAATCCATAGAAAAGTAGCTGGATTACAGATATGCAACACAAGGAAGAAGCAGATTGAGTACATGTGTATTTCAGATTAAATCTGATGACATAGCTGGAGAATATACTGGAATATCAATTAGGAGAAAAATCAATGCTTGTGTGATACACAGATATGTATGTGCATTTTCCATATAATCATATATTCACAAAATCATGTAAATATAACTCTAAGTGTAGCAAATGATGGAGACATCAGAAAAATTCCAAGTTGTAAATAGAGAATGGAGATAAGTATTATTTCACTGTAATTCTGGACTTAATTTTTTATTCACTAGGTCATTTTCCAACTCTGTAGAAAAACTTTGATTGTAGATTTACTATCATGTTTTGGTGTTGTTGTTGAATCTTAGAAGGTCTTATTAATAAAAACAAACATGAAGCCAGATATTGGAGTGAATGCTGAAAGATCAGAGAAGTAGAACAAGCCACAGCCACCTCACCTTGCCAATTCCTCAGCTGATCCTGTTTCCTCAGACTGGAAGCCTCTGAGTCCTCATCCAAAATGAATCTCAGCTGAACTGCTGCTCAAAAGCCTAAAAGCTTAACCAGCTCTAGTTCCTGGTTTTCATGCCTTATATAACTTTCTGCCATCACTTTCTGGGATTAAAGGCGTGTTTCCAGTGGCTTTGAACTCACAGAGATTTAGACAGATGTTTGCCTTTGGAATGCTAGGATTAAAGGCATGTGTGCCACCATTTTCTGGCCTCTGTATTTAGTGGCTGTTATGTTCTCTGACTCCAGATGAATTTATTAGGGTGCACAATGTTTTGGGGGAACACAATATCACCACAATTATTGTTTTGAGACACTGTAATTCTAAGAAGCTCTGGTTAACCACCAACTTATAATCTACCTCCCACAGCATTTCAAGTGTGCCACCATGTACAGATAACATTGTTTAGTTGTTTATTTTCTGCCTGGTG